GATCTTTTATGTAAGCTGGCGACAATGGCTCTTACGCTTTGCCCTTAGGCGTATCTGCGTGGCCCTGAGGCTCGTTAGGCGGGCGACAATGGATCTTACGCTTTGCCCTTAGGCAATGTGCGGCCCTGAGGCTCGCTAGGCTTTATTTTTCTCTCGTTAAGACTTTTGCAATGATTTTGCCTGACTTGTCGTCGATTCGGGAAGAACCTTGATTTCCAGTCGTTAGCGGCGATGTTTGAGCACCTCGTAAGATTTGGCTCATAGGCTGAGTAGCTCGAAGCCTTATGATTCGGAGCTGACATGGTCGAAGCTCATTTGCCTGTTGAGGGTAGCCTGTTTAACCGGTTCTTTTCGAAGTAGATTCGAAGTAATGGCCTATAATTTTGTAGCGACGGTCGGGCATCCCCGAGTCGCGTTAGTTTGGCTGGTGCAGCCGTATGACCGTAGTCATTTAGGTTTGGCCGGAGCCGTTTTTTGATCCCGAGTATAGTAGTTTAGGCGTCTATATCAAGGGTATGCCTTTTTAGGGGTCTTACAAATTCGATATATATCCGAAACTTCGAGATTGATTTTATGCCTGTAATAAGGTCTTGCAAAAACTTTTCATGCCTTTTGAGGTCTTACAGTTTTTGCTGATACTTGATGCAAGTATGATTCATGCCTTGCTTGAAGGTCTTACAGTTCGTGTTGTTGTTTTGTGTAAGTTTTACAAGACCGAGTCTGCCCGCTCGGGGTCTTACGGCCTCGGGTTTTTGCTGAATGGCGATTGGCGATAGTCTCTGAGTCATCGAGTATGTTTTGGCTGGTTGATCTATTAAAAGGGGCAGCCCACTTTAAAAGATTAATCTTTAGTCTGGTTACCATCAGCTTAGAATAAGAATGGAATATAATTTGATGTTAGCCTCTAGAACTCAGTATAGACATTATGAGTTACTTGTGATGCCTTTTGCACTGGTCAATGCTTTGACTACATTCATTGATATAATAAATATGGTGTTTAAGTTGTTTCTGGGAAACAAAGTATCATGCTCTTTATTGTGATATTTTGGTATATTCTCCTCACCAGAAAGAACATGAGGATCACTTGAAAAATATGTTGCAGACGCCTCCAAAAAAATTAGATTTTTGCCAAGCCCTTAAAGCGTGATTTCTGGCTAGAATGGTGGCATTCCTTGGGCATATTGTAAGTGAGAATGTGATTATGGTAAATTCTAAGAAGATAGAAATAGTTCAGAAATGGAAAAGATCAACTATTCCTACAGAGATCTGCAGCTACTTGGCTTGGTAGGCTACTACATGCATTTTGTGCAGGATTTCTCCAAATAATAGCGCCACCAACCTAGTTAATGCAAAGAAAGAAAAAAAAAAGCAAAGTTCCAGTGATAAAGGAATCAAGAATATGAGCAGAGCTTTCAGAAACTCAAAATGTGTTTGACAACCACACTAGTATTAGCCTTACCATCAGGTTCTAGAGGACTCGCAATATTATTTGATTCTTCGAGGGTGCATTAGGATGTTTCTCACTTCTCACGCACATGGTTGTGTTGTAGCTTATGCTTCAAGATAGTTCAAGAAACACTAGCTAAATTATCCTACTCATGATTTGGAGTTAGTTGCATTGGTTTTGGCTTTGATGGTTTGGGGGCATTACTTATGCTGCGAAACTTGCGAGATTTATAGACTACAAGAGTCAGAAGTACATCTTCCAGCAGAGATATCTAAATAGTCAGCAACATAGGTGGATACAACTATTTAAAGGCTATGATTGCACTACTCTATATCATCTTGGAAAGTCTATTGTTGTGGCTAATGCAATTAATAATAATAATAATAATAATAATAATAATAATAATAATAATAATAATAATAATAATAATAATAATAATAATAATAAAAAAAAATTGTGGGGTAGTTTGGCACATGTAAAGAGACTTATGGTTAAGAGTATGCACAGATTAAATGGTACAGGTGTTAGATTTAGGGAAAATTGTTGGCTTTAGTCAAGCAAAGTCTTCACTAGTAAATCGCAGGAAGGCCACGAAAGAACGATTATGCAAACATCGACAAAAGGTCCTAGCTAGTAAAAGCAAGGATATGACTATTGACAAAAGTTGTATACTTTGATTAAGTAATCAGTTATGTGTAACAGATGTATATGTATCATGACGAGTTATTCTTGAGGAGCTCACAAGTCTAGATACATTGTACAACCGAGGTCTAATAAGGTGTACCATGACTAGAAGAAAATTATATTTATGGTAAAAGAAAGAAGGAAGATTCCTTAACCTTGTTTCTAACTGTTTGACTTGTTAGCATATCAACATTTGTGACTCGCAGGTCCACTTCAATGGTAGGTATACTTTTGCTAGTCAAAACTTCTCATATTGAGGATAAATATGCACAAATATACATGAATGAGAAATTGTTAAACTCTATGGGGTCTATTGCCCACCATTTATGATAGAAGGTCACAATTTACTGTACAGTTTTGAAAAAATTTCCAAGAAGCATTGGGTACACAAGTAGATCTTAGTAATGCATTTAATCAATACACAAACGGGCAGTCGAGTACTATACAGATCTTGAAAGATATGTTGAGAGCTCGCATTTTGAATTTGGATGTGGTTTGTATGCTTATATGTATTTAGTTGAATTTGCCTGCAACAATAGCTTCCAATCCAATATTCAGGTGAAACCGCATGGAGCTTTGTATAGTATACGAAATAATTTTCCTATTGGATGGTTTGAAGTCAATTAGGCTAATTTATTAGGACCCGACTTAGTAAAAAAGAACTACTGACAAGGTCCAATAATTAGATTGCTCACAACTCAAAAGAGACAAAAGCCGTATACGGATAAGAGGAGAATGCACTTAGTTTTAACAATTAGCGATAGAGTGCCCCTAAGAGCCTTCCCAATGAAAGGCGTATCATGATTAAAAAAAAATTATGTCCGTAAAAGTCTTATGGAGAAATCATACAGTTGAAGAAGCTGCATCGGAAGTGAAATATGTTATGCGAGTCAAGTGTCCTCATTTATTTTAGTCTACAAGTACGTACTTAAATTAAATTCAGGAACCGAATTTCATAAGGTGGGAAGAATATAATACCTCACATCAATATAAGGGTACTTAAGTATTTAACAAAAAGAAAAAACACAAGTGGGCTTAGCCCATCAGAGACGTAAAAGAGCTTCAGGAGAAGCTTTAGTTAGAAAGGGCTTTTGAGATTGGGGATTTTTTAAGAACTGGAAGAAGTCTCGTACGGGAAAAGGGAAAATAAGCCAAAGAAGAGATTTGGTGGAAATCTTTTCATCAACAAGGCATAAAAACCAAAAAAATGCTGGTGTATTTTTGTGATAAACTCCAGGTATTACATGTATTCTTTCTTCCTTTAGAGACAGAAGTAGCTTTATATACATAATTCCACGCATGACTGAGTAAATATGAGGTTAGATTAGATTCCGAGTTTAAACAAGAAGGTTAAGAGATTGAGAGAAATCCATAGGACTTTTCATGAATTACTGAGTATGTTATATAAATAGGATAAAATTTATAGATTATGGATTAGTTGAATTTCTCATAGAATGGGTAAATACAATTCGGCGAATTGATGGTCAAATATGGAACTTTGAGAGTTGCTTATTCTAAATTAGTTATGGATTAGCCTAAACAAGAAAATTAATACTAAATTAATATGATGTGATTATAGATTGATTGAAGGAAGTCCTACGAATCACTTGAGGTGATGTGTTTGTTATTTCGGCACGAGTACTGTGAGTAGTAATCTTACCGCAATTTGTGTTTTCATAACCTGCATGGTTTATGCGTTATTTTGAATACAAAACGTGTTACTGAATGTTTGAAATTGCATGTGGGACACGTCCTTTACTTGATATGGTACTGAATAGTTTACTTGAGATGTTTACATTTATTTAAAAGATTCTCATTGTTACTAGACATGTTTTACTGTTACTTGAGATATGATTTCGTTACCGAAATTAGATTACATGATTTGATAAGAATTGAAATGCCACTTACTATTTTATACTCCCTCTGTTCCAGTTTATGTGAACCTATTTCCTTTTTAGTCCGTTTCAAAAAGAATGACCCAAATTTGGAAACAATTTAGTTTAAACTTCCAATTCTACCCTTGATGAGAAGCTTTTATAAACACACAAATACTCTGGGCCCCTTTTTGACCTGTTTAGGACCACAAATTTAAAAAGTCTCTATTTTTTCTTAAACTCCGTGCCCAGTCAAACAGGTTCACAAATTGGAACAGAGGGAGTAAATGTTTCCATGTGAATATTTTCTATTTACAAAAAAAAGTATAAATGGGAGGAGACTATGAAGGATCTGGTAGCTAACGGCAGGTTCGTTAGACCTGGTGCACCTTGTATTTACCGATTACCGAGTACAGTTATATCCCTCGCTAGTGGGAAGGCAGAACTAGCACACAATTATAGTTTTCTCTCGAGTAGGGACCTACAAGTTATATTAGACTCCTTTTACGAAGGGATCCACACAGTGATACAGATTACATGATCCTTTCTTGAAAACCTCCCAAATATAAAGATTTGCTATGAGACAGTATTTACCGAGTTTATTACTGATTTGTTAAATTGATTCCGGTTACAGGAAGCACATGAATAGACTAATTATATTTACCATTTTTTAGAGAGCATTTATGATAGTTTCTGATTATTATTATTATGAAGACATATTTTCTGACTTGTCCCCATTAAATACGGTTGTGGCTAAGTTTTATTACTCACTGAGCTAGCGACTCACTCCTCGCTATTTTTTTCACAGAGACATCAGTTGACGCGAGCGAGAATTTCGTTAATTAGAGTACACGAGTTGATAGTTTCTGGTGAACCCCGCATTTGTTCGTGTGAGTGAAGAGTTTATTTATTTTCTATGTTCTCTCCTTTTGAACTCTTAGAGTCGCTCTATAGTTATTTTATTAGTGTCATGAGTATTCGTTAATTATTAGACCCATGACTAGTATTAGATTCTCTTATAGTGTTTTGGAGATGAATTTAAGATTACTGTGTTGCAAGTGATTGATTAACAGTTGTGAATAACTGTTTCATTAGTTGATGAGATTATGAGATATTTGGTTGAGATAGGTTGGTTCTGTTAATTTTTGAGACAAGGTAAATTTTTTGATAGTCCTAAATTGGAGAAACTCTGTCCGATTTTCTGTAGAATATCGATGAGGCTTACTTGGGGGCACTAGCTCTTAAGCGCCGATCATGCTCTTAAATTGGGTCGTCACATCCTCGACCTCCACACCCTTCTATCAAGGGTCATATCCTTGATAAGTTGAAGCTGCATCATGTACTGCCTAATCACCTCTCCCTAATACTTCTACCTTCTTCTATCATCTCATATTCTGTTGTTGTGCTTTGAAGCATCCTTCACTCTCTTTTTCTTTTTTCTTTCTCAAAACTGAATAAGAAACCGTCTCAACTCACCTGATTAATATATTTTCACCAACAAAGAACCATTGTCATATCAAAATTGTGGTGAAATTAGAAAGTTTTAGATAGGTTCTTTTTTATTTTCAGATTTGGGGTGAATAAGGGAGATTGAAGGAAGTGTTAGTGGTTATGTGGTGGTGTAATAGAGGAGATTTATTATTTTTGGATTTGTTTAATGGTGGACGACGATTGTGTTGGTGATGGAAGTTGTGTCCTTAATTTTTTTTTTTTTTAGTCACGGAGGGGGAAGGTAGAGAAGATAGTTTGGGGCAGAGGACGGCAGAGGAGAAAATTGGAGAAGGAGAAGGTCTAAGAATTAGGCGGGGTCCACATTGATTTTAGGGAGAAAAAAAAAAGATAAATATAATTCTAAAGATTTTCACGCGCTTAGATCTGAGTGTAACCCACAAAATTTGTCAGGTTATCATAAGGGGTTTAAGAAAATATACTTCTACCAAGCAAAGGTGTTTATCTGATCATGTAACAAGGTAAGGTGTTCATATGATCGTTGTGGACAACTTAAAGGGACTGTTTATGTATTTCACTTAAAAAGTATTATAAGTCACAGAAATAATTAGCAATTCAAAATATTTTAAAAGCCATGAAAACATTATAGTCATACTTAAAAAATAAAAAAGGGAGCTGTTGAGGCTATTAAAAGTCAAAATAGTAATGAAACAATTATCAAAAAATGGGTGGAAGAAACTCTGCGGTCCTGCTGCTCCTAATCCTCATCGCAGCTGCTTTCTTCACTTTCTCGCAAGCAAGATCAATTGCTTCAACTCCAACAAAACCCCATGTTTTCAGATCTTTCACCATCAACACCAATCAGGTAACTAATAAAAGGTTACATCCAATTACAGAAAGTAAGATTTCATATTGAATTTCATCAGGATCTCGTGTTAATAATACCATGTCTTTGTTTGAGAAATCAGAGCGCAGCTACTGCAAGGAGCTGCTCATACACATTGACCATCAAAACAAGCTGTTCTTCACCTAAATACACCAGAGACAAAGTCAGTATTGCTTTTGGAGATGCTTATGGCTTTGAGGTAAACGCCCTGTAATTCCAAATCTATACTCAAAGTAATGGGTCTTCTTCTTCTTCTTGATGGGTCTCTTAGTTAAATCCAATTGAGGGAATGGCAATATGCAGCCTTCATTTTCTCAAATCTTGATCACTGCAATTCTCCCATTAAGAGGAAGTAAAGTAAGTTACCCAGAATAGCCTTACAGACAATATAGATTAAATTTTAGATTCACCCGTTTCAGCAAATTGAATGAAAATAATCAAGTGCCACTTCCATTCTTCTTTGGTTTTTTTTTTTTTTTTTTGTTAAATCTTGCTGTAGATGACTGCATCTTCAATTGAAATTGGATGACCATTTGAAAATTAACTCCAAAATCTTTTGAAGAGAATGGGTTGAATACTCATTGTATTAACTTTCTTTTTGGGGTGTTGGAACCGGGGCTGATTTATAGACAAAAATATGGGGCACGTGAACTCATGTTATTTACGTAATATTTTATGTACATATTTTTTAAAATTGATATAATATTAACTGTTGGCACTCATGTTCCAAGAAGGGTGAATGGTACACTTGGTTGAATATTAAGTTAATTATCAAGAGGAATAGAGATCAATTCCCACCCTCTGGTTGTTGGAACAACTCTTAATTTGCCTTGAACCAAACATGTAAGACCAAACCCATTTTACCAAATGAGATTTCTGAAAATTGTATGTGAATGTTCTCTACAGGTGTATGCACCAAGACTAGATAACCCATCGTCAAGGATTTTCGAGAGGTGCTCTACGGATACATTTCAGATACGTGGCCCATGTACTTATGAGATCTGCTACCTTAACTTGTTGAGGGTTGGATCAGATGGCTGGAAACCAGAGAGCGTGAAGGTGTATGGTCCAAATCGTCCTGTTATTACGTTTAAATATAATAAGTTTCTACCAAATGGTGTGTGGTTTGGATTTAATCACTGTCGTAAAGTCTCTGGCTCTGTTATATAGGAATAGAGTATGTACTCAACCATGACCATGAGGCCAAATTTGAGTTTGCAGATTTGCTTGATGTACTATGGAGGTTATAAATAAGATATTGTTTGTGTGACGATCTATAGGTCGTTTTGAGTACTAAACTTTATTTTCGTGTTTCGAGACCTCTATGAGCTCCATTTGATATTTCTTGATTTGCGTGTGTGGTCCGTGTTGTTTTCCGGAAAGTTTTTGCATAAAAATTTGAAGAAAAAGTGATTTTAGGCTTAAAATGGGACTTGAGTTGACCACGTTCAACATTCTTGGTAAACGACCTCCGATCGGTGTTTTGACTATTCTGTTAGGTTCGTATGAAATTTTTGGACTTGTACGCACGTTTGGTTGGGGTCCAGGGTGACCCTAGCGCATTTCGATGCGTTATATGAAAATTTGTGAGTTTCAAGTTTAAACTCTTGAGTTTTGAGGATCGATTCTTGTTATTTGATGTTATTTTGATTATTTGAGGAAGCGAGTAAGTTTGTATCATATTATTACACTTATGTGCATGCTCGATTTGGAGCCTGAGGGGCTCAGGCGAGTTTCGAATGTGTATCAGATGAGTTTTCGATGATTTGAGATAGCTGGTGTGCTTCAATTTCTGGTGTTAATCTGCAGGTTTCGCATTTGCGAGGACATGTTCGCAAATGCGAGCTCTATTTTTGCGAAGTCGATCTCGCATTTGCGAAAAAGGGATGGGCGGGGCAGTCTTCGCATATGCGAAAAAACGTTCGCAAGTGCGGACTTCAGTGGATCGCTTTTGCGAATGTTTGGTCGCTTTTGCGACTGCGACTTAGTCGGGTTCGCAATTACAAACCTTTGACCGTATTTGCGATAAAGGGGTGTATCGCAAATGCGGTATTTTTTTGCGTTTGCGACTTTAGTAGGCTAGGGACATTGTTTGCACTTGCAATCAGTGTTTTGCATTTGTGATACCTGCAGCTGGGTAAAAGAGAGGAAAATCGAGACTTAGCTCATTTTAAACCATTTCTCAACCACAAACACTCTAGAGGCAATTTTTGAAGAACCCTTTCTTCCCAAATTCATTGGTAAGCAACTCTAATTTATTTCCTATCAATTCCCTATTACCTTTCATGAGTTTTTAACATCAAATCTAGGATTTTCATGGTAGAGATTAGGGGTTTTGGGTAGAATTTAGGGGTTTTGTAAAATTGAGATTTCGACGTCGAATTGAGGTCGGATTTCGAATAAATCACATAATCGGGCTTGGGGGTGAATGGGTAATCGGATTCTGGTCCGAATCTCGAATTTCGACCAAGCGAACCTGGGTTGACTTTCGTTGATTTTTTAAAAAATGATCAAAATTGAACCTTTTTCATTCGTGGGTAGTTTCTAAAGCTTATTTTGAATTGTTTGATCGATAATTGGCTAGATTCAGTTGGTATGGAGTCTTGTTCAAAAGGCAAGGCCGTGGTTGATTGATTGATTTGGTTGCGGAGTGAGGTAAGTATCGTGGTTAACCTTGACTTGAGAGAATTAGCACTTGATTAGTTTAATTGCTACTTGATTATGTGGGGGGACAACATATATACAAGGTGACGAGTGTCATGCGTAGTCATGGGTTAAGCATGCGGATTGAGATATTTATTTATTGTTTTCAATTGTTCCATTCTTCCATTTAATCCATGTTATTACTTGTTAAATGCTCTAATTGTTACTTGCCCTTACTTGTTAAATTCATGGCTTTGTCTGTTACATGCCTTAATTGCTAATTATTTTCATGTAGTCGTGTCTTTATTTATTGATTGTCTTTACTTGTTTTATGACCATATGTGTTATTAGATAGCTACTTCTATCCGCTTTATGTCTTTAATTATGTAATTCTCGTATTGAATTTTTTTTTAGATACATCGTAGTTAGTTGTAGTTGTAAATTTATATTATTATTGTGTAGGATCGGATTGCACACTGCAGCAGATATTGGTATTATTATGTGGGATCGGATTGCACGCCACAAACGGATCTTGGTATTATTGTGTAGAATCGGGTTACGCATCGTAACGCAGAAGACATATTTAACTGCTTTTAATTGCTGTTTCCGTATCCGTGATTGAAAAGTTGAGCATAAATATTATTTTGGGGCGCTCTATTATATTTCCGGTTCTAGTTCTCATGTTATACTTGTTTACTCTGTTAGTTGTTATTTCATTTATACTCGTTCAGGTTTATAGTGAGTGCCTTGTTTTAGCCTCGTTACTAATTCGTCGAGGTTAGGCTTGGCACTTACAGAGTATACGGGGTCGGTTGAATGTTACACTTTTGCACTTCTTGTGCAGATTTTGGTATTGGTCCCAACAGCGGTTAGTGGAGGCTCGCTCAGATCAGCTTTTCACGGAGACTTGAGGAAGAGCTGCACGACTATTGAAGTCCCTGAAGTCCCCTTCCTTATGTAGTTTACTGTTTAATTTGTTTCAAACAGTTGTATTTCATTCAAACATTAGTTGTAGCACTGTTAGAATGCTCATGTACCTGTGACACTAGATTCCGGGATTGAATTAGCCAGTGTTTTGAGTTATTATACTTATTTTGGATTTCTATGGCTTTATTTCTTATTAGATTGCTTTCAAATTAGTTTTAAAATGATTAGTTGTGTATTAATATTGGCTTGCCTAGCAATTGGATGTTAGGCGCTATCATGGCCCCACGGTTAGGATATCGGATCGTGACAAGTTGGTTTCAGAGCGCTAGGTTGCGTAGGTATCACGAGTCATGAGTAAGCTTAGTAGAGTTTGGAGGATCGGTATAGAGACGTCTGTACTTATCTTCCAGAGGCTATAGGGTTTTAGGAAAATTTTACTTCATTCTTTCGCTATCGTGCAATTTTATTCTATTATTGAGTTTGAACCATAATATTCTTCTCTCGCAGATGGCGAGGACACGCGCAACATCCGAAGTCGAGCAGGAGCCAGAGCCAGAGCCTCAGGTTGCAGCCACTACCAGGGGTAGGGGCCGGGATCGAGGTAGGGGCCGAAGTAGAGGCAGAGCTTAGCCTAGAGCATGTGCAGACTGCACCAGTTCAACCAACCCATGTCCCCGAGGGGTTCATAGCCACTCTCGTATTTCAGGACAACCTAGTCCGCTTAGTGGGCTTTATGGAGAGTGTTGCCCAAGATGATGTATTTCCTGTAGCACCAGTCATCTCATGTTGGGGGAGGAGCCTAGACTCTCGCTACTCAACCTCCGGAGCTGATGGCTCCCATATATCAAACTCCGGTGGTTCCAACAGTTAGAGTGGTTCAGCTTGCTATTGCTACACAGCACAGGAAGAGGCATGCTATGTTGTCAGAGGAGCTGAAGAGGTTGGACAAGTTCACCAAGCTCTTCCCTATTCTTTTCGGTGGTATACCTTTTGAGAACCCACATGATTACTTGGATTGTTGCCACGAGGTGACGCGCAACATAGGTATTGTGGAGTCCAATGGCATCGACTTTGCAGTATTTAAGATGACCGCCAAGAGATAGTGGCAGGACAATGTTCGAAGCAGACCAGCAGGTTCACTTGCCCTCACTTGGGATCAGTTCTCACAATGATTCTTGGAGAGGTTAATCCCTTTTACTTTAAGAGAGGACTACCGCAACCAATTTGAGCATCTACAGCAGGGTAGCATGATTTTTACCCAGTGCGAGACCAGATTTGTGGACCTATCTCTGCATGTAGTTATCTTGATCCCTATTGAGATGGAGAGGGTGAGAGGATTTATTGATGGCCTTACTTGGTATCAGGTTGTAGATGGCAAGAGAGACTACAACAACAACAACAACCCAGTGAGATCCCACATGTGGGGTCTGGGGAGGGTAGTGTGTACGCAGACCTTACCCCTACTCCGGAGGAGTAGAGAGGCTGTTTCCGGTAGACCCTCGGCACAAGAAGGAAGATGGCAAGAGAGACTAAGGATGATATTTCTTTCCGCCGGGTTGTAGAGATTTCTAGACGGATTGAGAGGGTTCATGGTCAAGGCAGAGAGGCGACCTCTGAGAAGAGGCCTCGTCATTTCGGTGGTTTCAGTGGTGCCTCATCTGGAGGCTAGGATTCCATTGGTAGAGGCCATCCTAGCAGGATGGTACAGTTAGTACTTCAGGCATCACACAGTGCTTATCGTGGTTCTTATGGCTCTCTTCCCGAGCTACTAGCCTACAATGCACCTCCATCTCCCATTAGTGCACCATCAATTCAGAGCTATCACAATAGTTATCCGGGCCATCAGGGTAAGTTCCAGATTCAGCAGCCACACCAGCCAAAAGAGTGAATTAGGTGTGGAGGTACGGGTCATATCAAGAGGTATTGTCCCAGACTTCAGATCAGTGTGCCACAACAGGGTACTCGTGACATGATTCTGGCACCGGTTGCTCCACCGCCTGCTCAGCCAGCTAGGGGCGGGGTCAGGAAGCTAGAGGTAGCACGAGGATTTGGTCATTTTCTCAGTTTAGGAATTGTGGAGCTCAGTCTAAGTCGATTTTTTGAGTGCTTTTCATCCTAATTGAAGAGGTAAGTGAAGTTTCATCACTTTTGATGATAGATATTGATTATCCATTGATTATTACACCTAATTTATGTGAAATTAAGATGAAATTTGGGGATTTTACACTATATTGTTGGAGAGTGAGGTTTGATGATTTGAGGGTCGATTTGTGGTTGGAATTGGATGAAACTAGTATCGCTGAACTCGTATTTGAATGGGTGTTTGAAATTTGTGAATTTTGACGAATTCCGGGTGCGGAATTAAAGACCTTAGCTTTATTATTTGTGTAGGAAGTCATAACTGGAATGAAGTGTGCAGACTTGGTCAGTCTATCCACAATGATCCACACCGCATCAAATCTCCTCAAAGTCTGTGAAAGCCCAACTACAAAATCCATAGCGATACGCTTCTGCTTCCACTCAAAAATATCTAGCCTCTGTGGCAAACCATCCGGTCTTTGATGCTCATACTTTACCTGCCGACAGTTCAAACACCAAACAATATCCTTCTTCATCATCTGCCACCAATAGTGCTGCCTCAAATTATGGCACATCTTCATGGCCCCCGGATGAAAGGAATACCATAAACTATAGGCCTCCTCAAGAATCAACTCTCGCAACCCATCCATATTCAGAACACATAT